TCGATGTAAAGTATACTACTGGTCCCGAGGTGTCTTCATTCATCTCAAGGAATTTTTCAGCTCGCAGCTAGAGTAAAGTGCATCGAAGTCTTAGTTTGGTAAGTTGAGCCAAATGTAAAACTTTAATTTTATCCTTTCATCGTGTTATATTCATGATTTAATTCACTGAATTTGTAGTGACATAAAAGATAAAAAAAAGCAAATTTCCCAGACGCATGCTGAGTAATTTGTAAGGTTTGTCATGGCAATGAGATAAAATACAAAAAATCGCTAGCGCTATCAAGGTCTAAGATTGTCGTGAACAACAGCATCGATAAACTGTAGTAACAAAAACATAGAAGAAGTGGGAAGAAAAAAAAAATTACAATGATTTTAAATAGATTATAATTATATAGCATTATTATATGGCTTAGATAGTACGCGCGCTCTGATTGGCTGTTGACAGATAATGACCGGTCGGAATTTTCCTGTAATGCCCGCTCACAGCGGTCATTATTTTTCGCGATTACACCAGCTTTGACTTTGAGTAAGACGAAGAAAAAACACGCAATTTGAAACGCATTGCAAAACAAAGATATCCTTTTAGTTCGTTTACGAAAAAAATAAATGTTTGAAAATTTTTTATTTGCAAAATGAGAGACGACAAAAACTACAGTCAAAGTGAATTTATTTTACATGTTCTTGACGAGATTAGTGTGAAAGCCGTCAAAATGGCTACCAAACAGACGAAAACCATGATATTTTTAGTACCAAACCGACGAAAATGACCAAAATCATTATATTTTTAGTAATTGTCTGCAAAAATGCGGGAATAATGGCTCCTTATTTCATAGATTTAGTTAATTTTCATGCAGAAATACATTATTACAAACTTTTCAATGATTCTTCTATCGACAAGGCCGGTGTAGGTTTGTTTATTAATTCTYCGATGTGKATGWCYCTCAATATTGAATTACAATTTTCTTCTCTTTCTCCAGCAACCCGAGGAGTTATTGCATTGAGCAATGCAAAAGTAAACTTGATAGACGACGGTTATTTCCCACAAATTGCTTGAAAGTTTGCCTGTTTTCAGCTGTTTTCATTGAGAAAGCTTGGCATTTGAACGAGTTCACACTGACTCAAAATTCCTTCAACTGGACTTCCAGGTTTTTGCTCTTTTTTTCTAGTCAACGAGCTCATTGAATTTTTAAGAGGAGGATTTCATTCTCAGCCTTTCTTGTCAAGACACCGGTTTGAATCCCTTCGGCTTTTCACTTTTGTTTTTAGTAGTCTGTAGAGGTATGTTCTGGCATCTTTTGAGCTTTTACATCTTGACACATCGTTTTTTTTNATGGGGTGATTGGATGATCGAATCATTTAATGATCGAATGGATGATGGAATGATTGGATGATTGATTGTTTGACATGTATGATTGAACGATGGAATCCGATCGAATGATGACAGTCAGTGGCGGATCCAGGATTTTTCAAAGGGGGGTTCCACTTTGTTTTCGCATTTTCCTAAAACGAACTTTTTTACTGTTCCTATCGAACTGTATAGCAAATGTAGCGTGAATGTATTTAATAAATATTCATAGTACATGCGTTTTTATCTTATTTCATTTATCATTTATTTTTTATTTTTTTTTATGCTTCAGGGGGGTTCCTAGGAACCCATGGATCCCCCTGGATCCGCCACTGACAGAACGACTGATTGAAGATTGACAGTGATGATTGAATGATTGAATGGTTAAACGATCGATTGATCTTTTTCATTGATTATATGATTAAACTATTACATCATCGAATCATCGGATGATTCCAGCATCGTTCATATTCAATAGGTCGTCCACGCTGCTATGTACTGTGAGACGAAGGGRGTTTTTCATCGCGATATCAAAGACGAAAACATTCTTCTGGACACAAAAACTGGACAAGTCAAGTTATTTGACTTCGGTTCTGGGACTATACTTGAGAATACATTATACACAGATTATGAAGGTAAGCTAAGGTAAAACGAATTCATTGTGCGGAAAAACAGTCTGTAGCAAAGTGGTTGGCTACTTTGTTTACTGGTGGAGGTTTAGAGGGTGATTCTTCAGCTGTCTGCTTGAAGGGAAWACTACTTCTGTGTTGTTTGTATTTGCATTTTGATTGGTTGACTGATATGATGCGTTTTTTGTAGTGTTGACACTGCGCATGCTCACGTGTCATACTCTGTCATTACTAGGAACACGTGCCTATTGCCCACCTGAGTGGTTTCGTTTCCATCGTTACTACGCCCGCTCTGCGACGGCCTGGTCACTAGGGATTCTGCTTCATAACATGTTGATGGGTGACGTGCCGTTTAGTAACGAGATTGAGATAGTTCGAGCTGAGTTAAATTTTACTGACGATATCAGCCCTGGTAAGCTAAAGGTCATCACCACCCTCCCCACCCATCCCCAGCAATCAAACTCTTACTGCCATACTCTCTCATTATCTCAATGCGCTACTTCTTAACATCCTGTTTCCCTCCCCAACTCCCTGCTTACATTGAATTCCTCGCCTCTTGTCTGCATCCTCTCGTTCTTCCCACAAATCATCCTATTTTTTCTTCCTCTGTCCCTTCTTCCCTCCTTCCCACTTTCCCACTTTCCCTCTATCCCACTCAACCACTATTAATCATCCATCCATCCTTCTCTCGCTCCGTGCATTTATTTCTCCCTTCCTGACTGCATCCGTTAATACCAAAAACACTCTCTCCTCTTCATCCCTTCATATCTTCACCATCTTCCACCCACTAGTCTCTCCTCTTACCCCCTCCCTCCCTTGTCCATGACGCTTACCCCCTCTGTTCATCACCAACGAGCTTCATCTTGTCCCTCCCTCTGTTCATCACCAACGAACTTCATCTTGTCCCTCCCTCTGTTCATCACCAACGAACTTCATCTTGTCCCTCCCTCTTCTTTCCCTGACTTTCTACTTGTCTATCTCTACTCCCGCTCTCACGCAATCCAAGAATTCATTACAGAACGAACTATTTACTTTTGCTTCGCGTTTCGATAATTTTCCATCTCAAAACAAACAAACAACAATAGACTTCTGAACCTTTGACGTCACTACTAATGCATTGTNTATGATGCGTTTTTTGTAGTGTTGACACTGCGCATGCTCACGTGTCATACTCTGTCATTACTAGGAACACGTGCCTATTGCCCACCTGAGTGGTTTCGTTTCCATCGTTACTACGCCCGCTCTGCGACGGCCTGGTCACTAGGGATTCTGCTTCATAACATGTTGATGGGTGACGTGCCGTTTAGTAACGAGATTGAGATAGTTCGAGCTGAGTTAAATTTTACTGAMGATATCAGCCCTGGTAAGCTAAAGGTCATCACCACCCTCCCCACCCATCCCCAGCAATCAAACTCTTACTGCCATACTCTCTCATTATCTCAATGCGCTACTTCTTAACATCCTGTTTCCCTCCCCAACTCCCTGCTTACATTGAATTCCTCGCCTCTTGTCTGCATCCTCTCGTTCTTCCCACAAATCATCCTATTTTTTCTTCCTCTGTCCCTTCTTCCCTCCTTCCCACTTTCCCACTTTCCCTCTATCCCACTCAACCACTATTAATCATCCATCCATCCTTCTCTCGCTCCGTGCATTTATTTCTCCCTTCCTGACTGCATCCGTTAATACCAAAAACACTCTCTCCTCTTCATCCCTTCATATCTTCACCATCTTCCACCCACTAGTCTCTCCTCTTACCCCCTCCCTCCCTTGTCCATGACGCTTACCCCCTCTGTTCATCACCAACGAGCTTCATCTTGTCCCTCCCTCTGTTCATCACCAACGAACTTCATCTTGTCCCTCCCTCTGTTCATCACCAACGAACTTCATCTTGTCCCTCCCTCTTCTTTCCCTGACTTTCTACTTGTCTATCTCTACTCCCGCTCTCACGCAATCCAAGAATTCATTACAGAACGAACTATTTACTTTTGCTTCGCGTTWCGATAATTTTCCATCTCAAAACAAACAAACAACAATAGACTTCTGAACCTTTGACGTCACTACTAATGCATTGTRGGATCATTTTCTAGAGAAAACAAAAGAAATCCGCCATGTTTTGTCCAAAACAAATCCTACAATGCATTGCATATTAYAAACCCGTTGATTGACACTCTATAATATTTCGGCTTTTGCAGATGCGCAAGACCTGGTACGTCACTTGCTGGCAAAGCACCCGTCAAACCGACCAGCCCTTGATGACGTCATTCAGCACAGATGGTTATACGAATCGAGACAGCGCCCGCGATCATCACARGACCGAATCCGTTACCATAGTGATAACAAATACCATAGCAACAAAGCTATTAGAACATATAAGGGTCATGATAGTGAATAAATTTTTTTAAAGTATATCAGAAAAAAAATGTTAAAATTGAAAAAAAAATTATAGTATTTTTTTATTGCTTTGTTTTTCCTATTTGAATTAAAGTTGTTTTCCATTGCCTATTTCGTTTCTATTGTTAAAAAC